GATTATACACAATCAGAGGGTTCTGGATTACACACAATCAGAAAGATTTGGAGTGCACACAATCACAAAGGTCTGGATTACACACAATCAGAAAGATTTGGACTGCACACAATCACAAAGGTCTGGATTATACACAATCAGAGGGTTCTGGATTACACACGATCAGATAGATTTTGAGTGGACACAATCAGAAAGATTTGGAGTGCACACAAACACAAAGGACTGTATTATACACATTCAGAAAGGTCTGGATTATAGACAATCAGAAAGGTCTGTATTACACACGATCATAAAGGTCTGTATTACACTCAATCAGACAGATCTGGATTGCACACAAACAACCAAGTCACGATAACATACACGCAGTCTGATCACTTTTACACACAGTCAGAAAAACCTGGATTATTCACAGTCAGTCAGGTCACGCGTCAACACAATCAGTCACGATTACACTAAATAAACTACGCACAAGATGCTAAGTTTACTCTCATCTGACGACACCTATGACGCCGTGATATATTTTACCAACGATATACTAAAGCAAAAGAAACACACGTTCCACACTGACATGGCTAGAAATCAAAGTTACCTTAAAACGAATTGTGAGGGGAAAGCTTTCTCCATAAACATTTGGTCTTATGTTTGGCCACCATGATTACTTTCATTCATTGTTTTAAAGGTCTGAACGGAATATTCTTTATCTCCAATTTGATCTCACGTAAAGACATACAACACCCATCAGACTAGACATGCGACCTAGTTTACTGGATATGTAACACCCGTGACCCCTTATCAGACACACGGTATTAAATATGCAATCTAATGGTAGCGATGTTAGATCCATGGTAACAAATAACTCACAAAAAGAAATTATGAATAATTCATAACATTTCCATTTATCTATAAAACCATGCCTTCTATTCGTTTCAGTCAAATGCCTGGAGACATGTGAAAAGGGCGAAAAGCAAATTCTTATTATTTACAAACTTGTGAACTGGTGGTTCTATGCGTGTGTAGTACCACTGTTTTATTATTCAAGCTCAATGTTTGGACCGGTGACAGCAGCAATTATTTACAAATATCCAATACTAAAAATCTGAAGAGCTGAAGGCCGAAGGGCATCTTGATGATGTGATAAATCATTTGCCTATAATAACGGTAAATCTTTTGTGGACCTCGATTGAACACGCCATCATTAATCAACACCCGTATACTTATACGTTGGATAAAATTCCATGACATCCTCTTTAAATAACCTACAGCGAGATATCAATACGCCATTAGGGACAGGGTTATCGTGAACCTTCGGGTGGTGGTAATGCAATAGCATTCACTGATATAGTATTTCGGTTTGGCGCTGCAAGTAAACTAGAGATCGAGGATGTGAATGTCTTTTACACCACTTGGGAGCTACGATTCACGCCGTCGGGGCAGGATGGCGTTCAATCAGGCATGTAACAGTTGTAACCACACTATCGTCTTAAGACAATAAGACAAAGACAATAATTGCAATTTTACCAAACTGAACCTACGAGATGCACATACAAATGCAATGTATGAAATTAGAACCGACCAGTCAGGAGCAAATACACCTACAGGGTTTTGTTCTTGATATTCTGTATCAGGAAACAGTTATGTGATAAACATGCTTCCTTGTTTCAGCCTCTATCTTATTGAACATTCACCAGAAAAACCTGCAACCAGAAAAACCTGCCAGGTTTTCTTGATATTCACGAGACATTCACGAGACAAACCTGCTGGTAATGATGATACCAGCGTATCCTGCCCCACTGAAGAGATGAGCGTATCCTGCCCCACTAGTAAGCAGGTAAACTCATATCCAATACTGCTAAGTACAATCATGAAACCCATATAAATAACCAAAGGTAAACACGTTCTGTTACTGGTTAATACTGGACTTTAAGCTCATCAAACCCAAGCTGGGGAAGTCAGGCGAGAACAGAAACGTATTTATTTTGAAAAGTGTACCTCGTGTATTTCAACAATTTACAGACAAAGATTTATTTATCAGCATAGAAACATGCGTAATAGAAACGACACAAAATTGACATATTCAAAGGAACTCCCTCCCTCGTAGGTAATACCAACCTCGTCAATCTCATATTATTTTTCATTGTGTAACTTATATCCAGATTTGAGAGACAATTGCTAAATGATAATACATGCAAGTGAACATAAACATACAGACACAGTTCAAACGTAATTATTACTTTGATAATATACACCTGTTCAGCTCCGTTAAAACTTTGAGTAATAGTTCTGTTTCTGATAGTGATGGCCATACACCTTTACTGTCTCGAGTGAAGCCTTCAATATATTGTGGTCAACTACACCTCACCACCAATGTATTACACTCAGAAGAACATATCATTCCAGGGCAGTCCGAACACAAACACATCAACGCGAAAGCAAAACACATTCGCGTTTCCTTATCGATCATTTTCAAAAGCTACAAAGACACAGCATCTTAACCAACGAACAAATTGGATTTAGTAATCATCATCAGTTCTTTTTCCCTATCAAGTCAACATTTCCACATTTGATTTATGTAGCACTGAGGTCGTTATCGGATTTTGCACGCGAAGACTGCTGAAGAGGCACAAGGCGAATACGTCGTTTCCGTGAAGGGGATTGACCCATATCAAGTGTCTTTATTTCCTCTTTGACCTGTCCCGAGGTAAGATGCACTTTCGGACGAGTAACTTTCTGTGGACGGAACTTTGCATCGAGCTTCTTACTCTTATTCTCGTTATGTGAGTTCAAAGTGCACTTTGTCAACGCTTCTTCAAGATCACCCTCGGATTTGCTGAAGTTCTTCAAGCTCTCCAGGTTGCTAGTGACAACAACTATCCTCCCATCTTGGGATCTTTTCTGATGGACAGGGGAAGGTACAAACAGGTTGTGGCCTGCTTCTGGGCTAACAGGTGTCCCTGGCGTTCTTCGACCCGTATCCGAACTCGCAGAGCTTTGTCTCACAGGAGGCAGACCATCGCATTTTTCAACTTTGATGGACGGAAATGCCCCAGCTTTCTTACCGGAACTACTCTTGTCAAGAGCCAAGGGGCTTCTCGGGCTGTCCATTGAATCATCGGAACTTTCTCTCTCTCTCGGTGCAGGTGAACACATTGTGTGCCGGAGACCCAACAAAGGGCTTCGCAGATTTCTCGACCCTACATTCCCTTGAACGTCTGGTCGAATATTTCTCATTCCTTTTCTATCCATTCTTCTATTTAAACCTCCTAATCCTTCAAAATTCGGTGCTGCCTGGTACTGTTTGTCTGAATATGTAACGGGTGACGAGCCAAGTTCAGTATCATTCAACTCCGAATTAACATTTGAACATTTTTTAGTATGCTCCCTTGGAGTATAATCATGAATATCTACAGACTTTGGTCGAGTGTTAGTTCCTCTCTTACTTACGGTTCCTGGGTAAAATGAATATTCCGATTCTCCTCGGGACCTTTCTTCAGGAACACCCCTTTGACGTTCATGTGAGACTCCTAGCGGCGGCAAGTCCTTCACGTTCCCATGTCGTTTGCTCATTTCGCCTGCTCAGCTTAACACCTCGCAGATGATAATCCATGACTGTCACCGTTTACCTGACTATTGGCACCTCTCCCTGCACAATTATACGCTTTGACTTTCATGCAGAGTGTGGATCTAAAGGGCCCGGCACTGTTAAAGCTATCGGGCTTCTCTCTTCTCATCATTAATTTCAACTCCGCCGCGTTGCATTGATTGCTGTGGTCGGGAAACTGTTTTGTGTACAACTATTGATCCAAATACCGGAGCCAGGCAGGGCATAATCGGCTGCCTTGTGTCAACTAGCGACGGTACTGACGTCACAACCTGCCTCTTGGCTGCATGGTATGCGTATTTCTTGTGAACAACTCTTTCCTTTCTTCTATAAGCAAACCATCCGATGGACCCAGGGTATGTTGTATATCGTGTGTATAAAATCGACTCCAGTGCTGAAAATGTTAAACAGATTCGTATTCCAATTGAATATCCACGAATGAATAATAGATATTTTTGATCGATTAGTTTTGTTAAAATTGTACTTGGAACTAACCGTTTGTCGTTTTTGTACGCTTCCACATACCAAGCATATTATGACCTAACGCGGATTTAAATATTAATATACATGCGCAGGTTTTTAAATAGCAATCTGAGTTTGCACACCAATACATATGTGATCATTATGTAGACCTCGTTCGAATGATCTCTAACAGTTAAATTTCCGTCTAAATCACATGTACGTCTCACACCAGAAGCAGCCTGAACTCAAGGTCGTATTTCACTTAACGTGTTCATTGAGCCGATGTGTGCCTCTGCGTGATCAGTGTACATGTATATGCATACTTACCTTATCACTGCCGTCATCACATTGTATATTTATAGCTATCACGTTCGATGTATTGTTTGAGGAACATGATAAGTCTTTTATAGACACCACGTAGGAGTGCTCACTCACCCTTACAAAAGTGTACCACGCAAAGCAACTCATAGTGCGTTGATCATGACGTTACACATACGTCCTTAAAAACTTTCAACGTTTCGATACCTGCTGGATGTTCATGAAAATATGTGCCAAACAGAAAATAAAACACTGATAGTTAATTTGTATTGCTGAACTCTATTTAATGCAGGACGTTATAAACTTGTGTAAATATAGGGAATTATTACAAATACATAGTTTTAACCTCTAACACAGTTTAGGTAACTAATTAATTAATTAATTAACTCCAACTGATTTGATCTTGACGTTATCGTTGCTTTCGATATTCATTTTGTATATTTCGTTTAGTTTTGTTGCATTTTGTATACACATGTCAAGTTTGATTTTATCATTTAATATTATTGAAAGTAACGAGTCAAATGAATAAATGACCTTGAACATATCATTCCTTTTACTGAAATAATAGTATCAATCTCTCTATGCATGTGTGACGAAATAGAACAAGGCGATAACGAACAGCTGTTTTCTTAACAACTTTTATTATTCTAACAGTATCACAGTTTCTAGGATATACAAACAGTTTCTGTTGCTTGGTTACATTGTTGTCATAGTAACTAAACTAACACTCATCTACTTTCTCTCTAACATGTATTCCCTATCACATTCCACAACATACAGTTTATTTCATTCAGTGTACAACACTACAAGTAAAGTGCTGTGTACACCCTATATATGAACCAGTGTGTTTACAAAAGAGTATGAAAGCTTAACTAACAAATAACACAAAGCGTAACTCCCGAACCACGTAATATGTTCTTTTTCTAAATGTGCGTATTATTTATAGTGCGGTAGACACATTCATAATACACTATCTCTTCTAGATATAAATCACACTGAAGAAATCTGCAGTTTACACAATAAAAAGGGTAATATGTATCCGTGCTTGCATTAGAAGAAGGAGATTATTCTCTTGTGCGACTGACAGAACATAACTCAAACATTTTACACGTGAAATAGTTCAACACCAAGCAAATCTAAGACGAAACAGAGGAAACCATTAATAATACAGACGTATTGATGGTAAATATTTGATCAGCTCGATACATATATTGCACTAATTAATATGTATGTGAAGAAGTATTGATTTCACAATTCGTTTAATAGTCTCGTCAAGTTGCAATATTCCTCGAAGCTAGCGACTGTATTGTTTTCTTGGCAGATGAAATGTATATTTTGTACATTATAAATGTACACGCGACAGTCTCTTATATCATTAACAAGCAGTTTTATTAAACAAATCGGTACAATTGTTGTATATATTCCGTATGCCTTTCTGTTGTATTTCTTATCATCTCTAAACACAATATATAGATGAATTAAACAAGAGTATATTCAAACTATTGTCAAAAATATTTGACAATAACCATTATGAAGAACCGAACGAAATCAGTGTGTGATGACTGTTTGGTAAGCTGGAGACGTTAAAGGACAAGCTGTTTGCTGTCGCTACCCCTACACATAAATCTTAAACGATAGTCCATTGAGAACAACATATGAAATACTTGACTAGTTACATCACGGCGTGTCAGCTCAACATGGACAGAAAGCCCAAAGTGATGCAGGTTCTAAACGTTTCCCACTTTTGTAAAGACCACGAGTACGACTATGGTGCTGACAAATTAATAGTTATAATAATGGATCATACAAATCTAGGATTCGAACCCACTTAGACGACTGGGGTCGCTTCAAAACATATACACAGAAGACACAGTCGTCATATGGTCTTTGTATATTAACAAATTCTGACAATGATTATTGCAAACTAAGTGTGCTCAGAACACAAGACATTTTTGTGCAATTTATTAATTACTGACACGAAATTAGAATAAATTTAGCAAATATCATCAGTTCATTTGAACAATTTTCTTACAAATGTAAGATTTATATATGCCTATATATATATATTTATAAACTATGAAACTAACACAAAATTATCAGTATATTATATCAATCAACAGTTCAGTTTAACAATTGTCCAACAAATAGAAGATATATTTATAATTATTTTGTCATATATTAATATTCCTTCAGTAATATAATAAGATGTAGTTCAGCAGCAATATATAGCCAACTGTGTGTCTGATCCTATTTGCACGTCAACGGTCTGCTGAGTGGACATAAGTCAAGAACGTTCAATGAAGCATTATGTCCTACACAGTGGGAATAAAAGTCTAGAAGATCTAAGGCACGTAACAAAACTCTACATGTATGTAAATACAGTTCATCACATGCGTAAGCTTCATCACAATATTAATCAACAACAAGGTATATATGTTTACAAAGTCCCCGTTTTTCTCACTCGTATAAAATTCAACAGACATCATCAACCACAAACACACTCAACATCATATACAAACATCAACGTCATGAACAAACTTCAACTTTATGAAACATCAACAATGAACGTCATCACGTCTGTATCTCGTCTCTGAAAGTTATCCATCCAAGGTATTGACCAGTCTGGATTTTAATACTTTAAATCATTTTTTTTCGATATTGCATTTCAAAATGTTTACTTATTCAAAATTGATAATATAAAGGTCAGCTTTTCTTGTGTCTATGAATTGCCAAAGGATATAAAAAACATAAACTATCATGATTATAGTGCTTCTTAAACGACATAGTAATCACAGTTTATGCATCATTTCCTTCATTATGAATAGATGCTAGGAGTAAACCGAGTATCATAGTTTTTTGTTACAGATGGAAAGAAACAGAATTATTTAGTGTTGACAGTCTTTGCTTAATGTACATCGTCAATAGTCAGGAGTTTGTATACTCTAGGTTAATTTATCCTCGGAGATTACTTATAGCCGCTTTGTGGCGTAGTTGTGTCCTGTGTCAAATTGAAGAAGGCAAATGAAATGAGGGCTTGCAAAAGTCACGGAATTTATATTAGCCATGCCTCATGTATGAACTTCCTGGAACCTGGTGCCGGGTATTGAAGCGACGTGTGGAGTAGCTGGCCTAAAGGCTACGACACGTTTTGCACGAGACATATCGCCGATGTAATCTGAGCGCTCATTGGTCGGAGCACTCGCTGGCTTCCCTCCCGCTTGAACAATTCGTTGGTCAAAAATAGCAACCACACGACAAAGCTGTCCTTTTCACGGGTTATTGATGACAGTAATGTATACAAATCTATGAAGCATTGACGATGTTCAATGTATAGTAGCATTTATTTTTTACTCTAGTGTTTATCCTTCTTCCCACTCCACCGACAAGATACGCGTGTTATTTACAATGTATTGCTAGTATACGTCTGTTTACTACTTGTTTACACAGTTCCTAACATATATACATACGCACATTTACATAAATATTCCGGACATAATTTCGTCACGCAACTATCACTAGTAAGGATCTACATCTAAGGAAATCAGAAATTTCATTTAAGGAACCTACTTTCAAATATATATGGGGGTGAGAGGGTGGGGGTTGTTAGAGATAGGGTACTTTTCGGTCATTACTTAAAACATGCAATTCTATTTTTTCTGAAAGGAGGAGTTTACCTATTCCGCGTGACCCTCAATAATAAACAGTGACAATCATCGTGCCAGTTTGTTTTATCAACACCACGAAAGAAAATAAATTACTATACAAAAGGTGAAACTGCCAAGCCGACGAGACCAAGGTTACTGACACAACTCATATGGCAGTATTTCTAAGACCCTTTTTGAAACAATAACAACAAAAAATGCATTTTTGATCATTATCCTCTTCCATCGACCAGTATTTATCACCATAAGCCCCGTTCATCAATATACAAAACCATGTGGCCTGACAATAAGAATTGTACACGTGAAGTAACAGCATAGTACTACCAGGCATGACCGATGTGCTGTTACTTGCACTTAATACTCAATACTTAATATATACACAATACTTTATTCAAGAATGGGTGATGCAGACCCTACGATATTGAAACCCATATACGTTGTTCATGTGTTGTTTCATTAACCAAGGTCAATTTTGATTCAGTTCAGCAACATACTCCTTTGAGAATTATACAATGTGAAAGAAAAGGATTTCACCCAAACATTTAAACAGTGCCATGTCAAAACAAAATCTTTGTCATAAGAACACTAGCAATATAAACACGTCAACCCTTCAATTTAACACATCGCTTGTGTAATGATATCTAAGTTGGAGCTGTAAAACAAAACACATGCAACGTTATTAAATCTCACATGACAGCCCAGTTCTCAAGGAACTTTGGTCAGATAACGGTTCCAGCTCATTCCTGTTACCATGTTGACATGTCCTGTTTTGACTGGACTCGGGTACATCGTGAGATTGAATCGGAAACACACTGGATCCGGGGTATTCATAGAAAACACGTCGGATCCTGGGTATAAATAGTAAACACGGTGGATCCAGATTCTAATTTGAATACATCGTGGATCTGGTATGTTTGTTTGTAAACACGGTGTTCCGGGATATTTGTAAGTAAACAATCAGTGATTTTAAAAGGAAACACGGTGGCTCCGGAATTTTAGTAGGAAACACGGGGGGTCCAGGATAGTAGAAGGAAACACAGTGGATCCGATATTTTAATAGGAAACACGGTGGATCTGATATTTTAAAAGGAACCACGGTGGTCCAGGATATTAGTAGGAATAAGGGAGGCTCCGGGATATTGGTAGGAAGACGGGGGCTCCGGGATATTGGTAAGAAACACGGTGGATCCGATATTTTAGAAGGAAACACGGTGGTCCAGGATATTAGTAGGAATAAGGGAGGCTCCGGGATATTGGTAGGAAAACGGGGGCTCCGGGATATTGGTAGGAAACACGGTGGATCCGATATTTTAGAAGGAAACACGGTGGTCCAGGATATTAGTAGGAATAAGGGAGGCTCCGGGATATTGGTAGGAAGACGGGGGCTCCGGGATATTGGTAAGCAACACGGTCGATCCGATATTTTAGAAGGAAACACGGTGGTCCAGAATATTAGTAGGAATAAAGGGGGCTCCGGGATATTGGTATGAAACACGATGGATCCGATATTTTAGAAGGAAACATTGTGGAACTGATATTTTAGTAGGAAATACGGCGGATCCGGGGTAAATAATCGGAAACACGATGGATCATAGATAGAGAACGCAAGCAGTGGATTGGGGTTATTTCTTGGAAGCAGTGTTGATGAAGCGTTTATTCAGAATCACGGCTGATCTGCAGAATCAATCAAGATCCCTCGTCCTCACTCAAGTCACCATGGCTTGGCAATTAATCAAAATCACGAAATAAAATTTATGTCCGAGGTGTTGTTTGGAATTATAAAGATCGGCGGTATAAATGTGAAGCTACAGGACATTTGGATCATCTTGGATCCCGGGAATAAATACTTGGATCAACGAAAGACCCCAGTGGAAGATGCTTGGACCACCAGAGGTACGAATACCTCCGTGCCTGCGTAACACTCTACACTTCAGCTACTACACACAATTTGCTTATAAAACAGTGTACAAAATATTACAAATACAGAGGTTATTTGTACAAAATTACTCACATTTGTACAGTATACTACAGTATATCATTCAATATACTTACAGAGCGACACAGTGTCTCTAACACACATTTTATACATTCTCCATTTCTACTTGACTACAAACACTATCATGCGCGTAGGTTTTTTATACACAACCTGACAACCTTTCGAATGAGGGTTTGTCGGGAAAAGTCCTTGGCATCGTTGCCATAATAAAGGAACAATTATATGTCTTTCTATCCCCTGATGGTGTTTTCAGACACAATTGAACCTTTAACAAAACCGGTGTATATCAGATGCATGGTAGCGTACAAATATGACGTCTTCACATTGTGGTATTATGACGTCATCACACAATGTGCACTATGACATCATTACTCAAAGGTACACAGGGATTCCAGCTTCACTCAGGTGTTTTGGAGATTCCATTGGCCAGATCATTTGCTTGACCCTCTGAAAAGGAGAAAATACTTTTCTTAATGGGTAAGATGTAAATTGCAAGTGATTACATGACATTTGATTTTGCTAGCCAAGCTAAAACAAGGGCTGGTCGGCTTGGAGTCAGTTTAGTGTGTCTCTGTGAGGTATTCATGTTAAACTGCGGCATGGTATCTCTGTTGGCTAGCACCATAAAATAAGCATCACCCGGACTAGTAAAAGCAGCCACACACACACGCAAACGTCGCTATGTAAGTACAATAACCTTGGACGCGACGTTAAACTCAAAAGCTGTGTACATGATTTTACGAGCCGAATGTGCTTGTGCATCACGAAACAGACGCACATACATCCGTCAAATCCTGTACACATCGCCATTGATACATGTAACAAATTATCATTGAAGTTACCTTGAATTATTTCGGTGAAATATATTTGTGAGACAATTTGATAAATGACTGTTTCAGTGTTCTCAGGATAGTGCGAATTGTGACGTGACACTATATGACGTCATGATATCCTTCAGCCATAGCACATAACAAGGCGGCGACCGTCCTGCAGATAGCTGGAGGTTCTTTTAGTAGTGATAGCATTGTGTACATTGATTTGTTCCCCATTTGTGGTTTCGTTGCCGTGGTTTCCTTCCTTTGCTCCTTTGGTGTTTCGACTGATAACACCGTCTCATGTGTCGCCAAAGATATTTTCACGTGGTGATATAGAGTCATTAAGTTAGCTAGCCGAGAAGATCCGGGGTAGAGTAGGTCTTCAGCAACCCATGCTTGCCGTAAAAGGCGACTATGCTTGCCGTAAGAGGCGACTAGGGGATCGGATGGTCAGGCTCGCTGACTTGGTTGATGCATGTCATCGTATCCAATGTCAATCACTGGATTGTCTGGTCCAGACTTGATTATTTAACGACCGCCGTTATATAGCTGGAATATTGCTGAGTGAGGCGTTAAAGAACACATAACAAACGAAACAGTTATATAAGCGCCGTTATACGTGAATAAAAAATAAAGTCAAAAGAATGTGTTCCCCTTTAGGTGGTCAAGCCACTGCCATTACACTCTACCGAACCTTCAGGTGATAAAGCCACCGACATTGCACTCTACCGAACCTTCAGGTGGTCAAGCCACTGACATTACACTCTACCGAACCGTCAGGTGGTCAAGCAACTGACATAACTCTCTACCGAACCTTCAGGTGATTAAGCCACTGACATTAATTACGCTCTACCGAACCTTCAGGTGGTCAAGCCACTGACATTACGCTCTACCGAACCTTCAGGTGGTCAAGCCACTGACATTGCACTCTACCGAACCGTCAGGTGGTCAAGCCACTGACATTACACTCTACCGAACCGTCAGGTGGTCAAGCCACTGACATTGCACTCTACCGAACCTTCAGGTGGTCAAGCCACTGACATTGCACTCTATCGAACCTTCAGGTGGTCAAGCCACTGACATTGCACTCTACCGAACCTTCAGGTGGTCAAGCCACTGACATTGCACTCTACCGAACCTTCAGGTGGTCAAGCCACTGACATTACACTCTACCGAACCGTCAGGTGGTCAAGCCACTGACATTACACTCTACCGAACTTTCAGGTGGTCAAGCCACTGACATTGCACTCTACCGAACTTTCAGGTGGTCAAGCCACTGACATTGCACTCTACCGAACTTTCAGGTGGTCAAGCCACTGACATTACGCTCTACCGAACCTTCAGGTGATCACAGAACGATCACACAGGTTTTATTCTTTCAATCGTTTGTGCATGTTGGAATCTGTACATGATCAAGGACATCGTATGGTTCCAATTTGTGAAAAAGACCGATGTTTCGAATATAAAGTGTCAAAATATAAGCAAAACCAATGACCCAATATGAAAACAAAACCATGGAATTGTAATAATCTACCTATCTATCTAGATTTTCCATAGTCAAGAGAGTCGAGGACTTCTTGATGTTTCAACGCTTTAAATAAGCCTTTCCTTGTTTATGGGCGATAGACTTCTTCAGACTGAAATTAAGTCCCAGAATTAGAATAATCTTTTTTTTACTGAAATATTTAGTATATATCTACAAAATTAAAAATATCCAAATGGATCCCAGAAGAATGCTTAATTATTCAGATCTGAGGCAATTAAGACATGCCAAAACATTCTAGACTTGAGTTTGATTCATTATTTAATTTATTCTCTAGAGTCTGGAAAACAGACTGGACTGGACTCTACACATGGTGTTTCAAGTTCAGAACATCCACTTGATAAAAAAAACAAGTATGTAACTCTTATTCCTATGACGACTTTCGATAGCTTTCACAAGCAGTATAAACATTTTGCTCATTTTCTTAGGCTAACAAAATCGGTCAAAAACGTCATTACCATACCCCGTTTGTCAAAATGTTAAGAATCACTGCTTCAATCTACATGGAGCAAAATATCGTTTTCTCTTGCCCCAGGTTGTCCTACTATTCGAGTCCATTCGGCTCCATTCGGCTAATTCCGTTACTGACATGACAATTATGTCAGTTGATCGGTCATCCGAGTTCGTGGCACATGGGACGTAACTCTGTCGATCCTACATAACACCACAGACCAGCCGGTGGCGAGAAGCCGATATTTTACGGGCGCTTTACTCACCTCTGAGAATGTGCCTGTTGTAGTGACGGCGTGTATAATGAAGTATATCAATATACAAGCGATGGATGAAGATACAATCAGCCAGCCAACGGTTAAAGACCAATAGGGGTAGGTGTAGGTTCCGTAGGAGGGTTGAGGGGCGTTATACAGCGACATGATAAACAGGCACTAGAAAGGGAAAGAAGAACACATGTGTTTTGCTAGAAGAAAAATAAACATACGTTTTGTGACAATACTAATACGCATTTGGACACGCACGCAAGACGCACATATAATCATTAAAACTTAAGTTCACTGTACGTGATTTAACATGTTTTAGCAAAGGTAAATCTTTTGATGGTCGAAAATTATACTCTCTTCACTATTCACCAAAAACGCACACGCAAACGCACATGCACACGCACACGCACACGCACACGCACACGCACGTACCAGTAAGAATACAGGGCTGATAAAGGTCCATGTAATCCGCCAAAAGGGCCCAGGTGGAGCTCCAAGCATAGCCTCAATGTCTTGACTGAACCGCTTCGTACCTGTCACACAAACGTGTATTAGTTAAAGAGTGAGTTAGGTTTGACGCTTCCAGCAATATAATCACGGAGGCGGACATCAGACGTGGGCCTTACACATTGTACCCATACGCATGCTGGGAAACAAAGCCGAGCCTGCAGCGTGACGAGCGAACGCTTTAATCATATATCCGGCTACCCCACTGTCAATCGGTGACACAACCCATTGTGAGTGAGTGGGGTTAACGTTAACATCGATTTGAACAATATTTGACTTATGTCAGTTTCATGAGGGTGGAAAGGCCAACGTGATGTATAATGTATTTTTGTGACAATTCTTTTCGAAAATGGGCAATGTTTATTTAATTATTTATATTTTAAGGCATCTTTAAAATATTCATGTTTGGGGCCTGGTGAATCTGTCCTGAACTCGGAAAATGTATATTAGCTGACCGTATATCCAGGAGACGGCAGCCGCTTCGAGGAAAACGACAAGCAGGATCGAGATTGGAGCTCCGTATGTGTCGAACAACTGGATGACGTAGATCCCTCCCTGGAAATGAGTGAAAAATATTTCAATATTTGCTAAACAAAAGAAATCCCACTGCACCATAGTTTCAATAATATTGTGAGATAAATAATGAGTTTGGTTTAACGCCGCTTTTAATTGTATTAAAGTTAAATCACGGGGTGTCAGTTGGTGAGGGAGGAACGCCCGAAGGGATGCAGGTCTTCCACATTTATCATTGTGGTGAATGTCACGTACACATGTATGAAGCTGCTCAAAATCGGTAGGAATTTGGGATTCGAACCCATGATCTCAGGAGTCTGTCTGTCCAAAGGGACGCAACTAGGCACAGCGAACCTGGGCGTCTATAATACCCCCTTCACATACACGGATTTTTCTTAAGAGTCCTTACGGATCGCCAACTCGTAGTCAATCGCAAGCATCCGTAAATAACTCGCTGGTATCCGTAAATAACTCGTCACTACTTGCAACAACTCGCAGACACGCTTAAGGATCCGTGGAAGGAGAGGGAAATTAAATAACACGTAACAATCCGTAAGTATCGTAAACCGCTCGCAACAACACGTAACCATCCGTAAACCGCTCGCAAGAATCCGTAAATGACTCGTAACATTTTTTTTTGACGATTTGTTACGTTAGTTTAGGATTTGTTTACGGATTATTTACGGATTATTACGAGTGCTTACGTGTTGTTTACGATTTCATTTGAGTCGTGTTACGATGGCTTTACGGATTGTTACGAGTTATTACGAGTTATTACGAGCACTTTACGTGTAGTTGCGAGTTCTTTACGAATAGATACGTATACTTTACGTAGTCTTACGTATTGTTTACGATTTGGGAAAAGGTATAAAAGCTGCAAAACCGAAAACTTCATTTTCAGTTGTTATTAAGAAGTCATAGAAGTAACATTTCTGCTGACTACTCTACAATATCTACAAGCATGGCTCCAAAGAAAAAGGCAGTCAACAAGAAGTCTCCTTCTCTTCGAAAATCTCCGCGAAAGAAGAGGACACGCTCGTAATAATCCGTAATAAACCGTAAATAGCTCGTAATAACTCGTAACAGCTCTTAAATCGGTCATTAAAGTGGCGAAATCGTAGGGATCTGTGAATTTGTGCGATCCGTAAGGACTCGTAAGAAAAATCCGTGTATGTGAAGGGGGCATAAGTAATTGGCCACCGTTTCCTCTTATCAAATGAGTGTGGTCGTCAACAATAGTGAATGAGTGAAGTGAGTAATGGCGGTGACAAGCTGAAGATGGTGACGAGTGATGACGGGAAGGTTCGGACTTACGTATGTGGTGGTGACAAGCTGAAGATGGGGATGAGTGATGACGGTGTTGATGAGTGGTGACGGGAAGGTTCAGTCTTACGTATGTTGTGGTGACCATCTGGAGATGGGGATGAGGGATGACGGTGTTGATGAGTGGTGACGGGGAAAGTTAAGACTTACGTATGTTGTGGTGACAAGCTGAAGATGGAGATGAGTGATGACGGGGTTGATGAGTGGTGACGGGAAGGTTCTGACTTACGTATGTGGTAGTGACAAGCTGAAGATGGAGATGAGTGATAACGGTGTTGATGAGTGGTGACGGGAAGGTTCAGACTTACGTATGTGGTGGTGACCATCTGGAGATGGGGATGAGGGATGACGGTGTTGATGAGTGATGACGGGGTTGATGAGTGCTGACGTGAAGGTTCTGACTTACGTATGTGGTAGTGACAAGCTGAAGATGGGGATGAGTGATAACGGTGTTGATGAGTGGTGACGGGAAGGTTCAGACTTACGTATGTGGTAGTGACAAGCTGAAGATAGATGTGATGACGGTGTTGAGAGTGGTGACGGGAAGGTTCAGACTTACGTATGTGGTAGTGACAAGCTGAAGATGGAGATGAGTGATGACGGTGTTGAGAGTGGTGACGTGAAGGTTCAGACTTACGTATGTGGTAGTGACAAGCTGAAGATGGAGATGAGTGATGACGGTGTTGATGAGTGCTCACGGGAAGATTCAGACTTACGTATGTGGTGGTGACAAGCTGAAGATGGAGATGAGTGATGACGGTGTTGATGAGTGCTGACGTGAAGGTTCAGACTTACGTATGTGGTAGTGACAAGCTGAAGATGGGGATGAGTGATGACGGTGTTGATGAGTGCTCACGGGAAGATTCAGACTTACGTATGTGGTGGTGACAAGCTGAAGATGGAGATGAGTGATGACGGTGTTGATGAGTGGTGACGGGAAGGTTCAGACTTACGTATGTTGTGGTGACAAGCCCTCCGAGGAAGCAGAAGAAGATGAGGCCCGCCACGAACAACTCCCGTCTCTTCCTCAACGCCGGCCATTCGTCCAGGATACCCGTGATGATGGCTTCCAGGCCCCCAAACTACAAATACACATGTTCTGAGACACCATGACACACAAGACGGACATAGACACAACGTCAACATCTCGTTTGTCGGTAACCAGTGCTGACATTCATCGAGTAAACGGTTCGTTGTCGTTGTATTTGGATCATAATTTAATCAAATTGTTTGATTGTTGTTTAAGGTCGCCCTAAATCAAATTGTAGGACGACGGTCTGTGAATATTTGAGTCTGAACCAGACAATGAGCAATGATGACCAGTTACGCGTAACGTCCCCATTCGGGGTACAATGACACGCAATCAACCAAGTCACCGATCCTTACCACCCGATCTATTTTGTCGCCTCTTACGACATAGTTAACCTACTCCGACCCGTGTTCTAGGCTAAACAGACACACTTGTACAACTAAGTTATATGTACCGTGGTGTCGAATGTATTGTATGTACCGTGGTCTGGAATGTATTGTACATACCACGGTGACTTAATTATGCGTAGTGTGGGGTCGCACCGAGGTGTCGACAGTATTATATATTAAATGGTGTGAACTGTATATATATATAGCGCGATGTCGACTGAATTATACGTATTTTAATTTCGACTGTATTATCCGTACGATTATGTCGACTGTATTATACGTACCGTGGTATCAGGTGCATTATGCGCACCATGGTGTCAGCTTTATTAAACGTTCTTTTGTGGCAGCTGTATTATACGTACCGTTGTGGCAGCTGTATTATACGTACCGTGGTATCAGGTGCATTATGCGTACCATGGTGTCAGCTTTATTAAACGTTCTTTTGTGGCAGCTGTATTATACGTATCGTTGTGGCAGCTGTATTATACGTACCGTGGTATCAGGTGCATTATGCGTACCATGGTGTCAGCTTTATTAAACGTTCTTTTGTGGCAGCTGTATTATACGTACCGTTGTGGCAGCTGTATTATACGTACCGTGGTATCAGGTGCATTATGCGTACCATGGTGTCAGCTTTATTAAACGTTCTTTTGTGGCAGCTGTATTATACGTACCGTTGTGGCAGCTGTATTATACGTACCGTGGTATCAGGTGCATTATGCGTACCATGGTGTCAGCTTTATTAAACGTTCTTTTGTGGCAGCTGTATTATACGTACCGTTGTGGCAGCTGTATTATACGTACCGTGGTATCAGGTGCATTATGCGTACCATGGTGTCAGCTTTATTAAACGTTCTTTTGTGGCAGCTGTATTATACGTACCGTTGTGGCAGCTGTATTATACGTACCGTGGTATCAGGTGCATTATGCGTACCATGGTGTCAGCTTTATTAAACGTTCTTTTGTGGCAGCTGTATTATACGTACCGTTGTGGCAGCTGTATTATACGTACCGTGGTATCAGGTGCATTATGCGTACCATGGTGTCAGCTTTATTAAACGTTCTTTTGTGGCAGCTGTATTATACGTACCGTTGTGGCAGCTGTATTATACGTACCGTGGTATCAGGTGCATTATGCGTACCATGGTGTCAGCTTTATTAAACGTTCTTTTGTGGCAGCTGTATTATACGAACCGTGGTATCAGCTGTATTGTGCGTAGCATGGTGTCAGCTGCATTGTGCGTACCATGGTATCAGCTGTATTGCGCGTACCGTGGTGTCACCTGTATTGTGCGTACCGCGGTGTCAGCTGTATTGTACGTACCGCGGTGTCAGCTGTATTGTACGTACCGCGGGGTCAGCTGTATTGTGCGTACCGCGATGTCAGCTGTATTGTACGTACCGCGGTGTCTGCTGTATTGTACGTACCGCGGTGTCAGCTGTATTGTACGTACCGCGGTGTCAGCTGTATTGTACGTACCGCAGGGTCAGCTGTTTTGTTCGTGCCGCGGTGTCAGCTGTATTGTACGTGCCGCGGTGTCAGCTGTATTTTACGTACCGCGGGGTCAGCTGTATTGTACGTACCGCGGTGTCAGCTGGACTGTACGTACCGCAGGGTCAGCTGTTTTGTACGTGCCGCGGTGTCAGCTGTATTGTACGTACCGCAGGGTCAGCTGTTTTGTACGTGCCGCGGTGTCAGCTGTATTGTACGTACCGCGGTGTCAGCTGTATTGTACGTGCCGCGGTGCCAGCTGTATTGTGCGTACCGCGGTGTCAGCTGTATTATACGTACCGTGGTGTCAGCTGTATTGTACGTACCGTGGTGTCAGCTGTATTGTACGTACCGTGATGTCAACGGTATTATACATACCGTTATATGTACATTCAATTATTATGCATAGCGTTATGTCGGCTGTATTATACATACCGTAATGTCAACTGTATACTGCATACCTTTATGTCGACTGTATACTGCATACCGTTATGTCGACTATATTATCCATATCGTTATGTCGACTGTATACAAACCGTTATGTCGACAGTATTATACATATCGTTATGTCGACTGTATACAAACCGTTATGTCGACTTTATTATACATATCGTTATGTCGACTGTATACAAACCGTTATGTCGACTTTATTATACATATCGTTATGTCGACTGTTTTCAAACCGTTATGTCGACTTTATTATACATATCGTAGTGTCGACTGTATACAAACCGTTATGTCGACTTTATTATACATATCGTGGTGTCGACTGTATACAAACCGTTATGTCGACTTTATTATACATATCGTGGTGTCGACTGTATACAAACCGTTATGTCGACTTTATTATACATATCGTAGTGTCGACTGTATTCAAACCGTTATGTCGACTTTATTATACGTACCGTGGTGTCGACTGTATACATATCGTTATGTCGACTTTATTATACATATCGTTATGTCGACTTTATTATACGTACCGTGGTGTCGAGTCCAAGCGTGATCAACATGAAGAAAAATATGATGGCCCAGAAGGACGACCCCTCGATGGTTGCTATGGCTTCAGGATATACTATAAAGATTAACCCCACATCTGCGAAAAAAAGAAGGGTTAATAAACATCAATGTCATCGGAGAAGTTGAATCACCAATGAAGACGACAGAACATTTACAACACAGTTTACTCTCAGAATTATAAAAAAACATGTTTTTCGATAGATTTCAGCAGAACAGCTAAATCGGAACATAACCAAAACCAGTCAGAATTGAAATCGTCGTCAGTGCGACTTATCTACGAAGATAGAGTATGCGATTTACATGTCATAAAAACTCCTCAGTCGTAATGCAGCCTTGTTGAATAACCGAACTAAATTGATAAAATATAATAAATAAAAAACAATCACGGTATAAATTGTCACAATGTAATCAATGCATGTTGGTAGGTTTAAGATATTAAATTCGCGCGTATGTCGCTTTCTATATAACAGGGTGCAGTGTTGCAAAGCGATCTGAGTGCTGATGTGATCGTAACTCCCATACCTTAACACTGACTTACGACAGTCGTAGGTCTAAGGTTGTCATGTACAACAGCAACCAGGTCAACATTAAGACGGGTCCTAACCCATGTCCGGTGTCACCACACAGTCGTTAGTCTCATTCGTATAGCTGACTAGACCAGCGTTAAGTTGTGCACGTGTAATGCATCATGCATCATACATGCATTAAAACATGTACATGATTTATTATCGTTTCAATAAGGGAGCTCTGATGGCACAATCGCATTGTTGAGTCTCTTAGGAGTATCGGTGAATTATGATCTTAGGGTTCGAACCCCGTTCTTCATGATAATATTTCTTGGTTTGTCAGCATATTCATCGTTTATTCTATCAATGTGGTAAATGTCTGAAAGTGAGTGGGTGAGTGAGTTTGGTTTGATACCTCTTTGGACAGTGTTCCAGTTACATCACGGTGTAATGCTCAATATGAGGGGAAAGCCCGAGGTGATGCAGGTCTCAGACGTTTACCACTTTCGTGAAACCCACGAGTACGGGTATGGTGCTGACAAACCTAGAAACATAATCAGGGCGAACTGAGATGCGAACCCACGATCAGAATTGTCTGGCGTGTCCAAGGGACAGAACTCTGCACATCGACTTGTGGCGCCTCAGACGACTGGGCTGAACGTGCCCCTGTAACCGTCGAAGACGTTTCGGGCTTCCCCTAACATGAAGCTGACACACAGTGACATAACTGAAATAATGTTCAAAGCGGTGTTGTATCAAATTCAATTTCTGTTTCATAACGAACAAATATTATTTTCTATGATTCGGCAGTCGGTGATCTTACCGTATATTTACATAATTGGGTCACATTTGCATATTTCCAAAGTCTATGTCAGATTTAATTTTTTTGAATTTTGAAAAACTCACAAATTACCATTTCTGTGGGAACGTTTACCCTGTAAAATTGCAAGCGATATACATTTAGAAGAAATAGCAATCTGACCTGCTCGTGCCACCTTGTCTATGTCCCTGTTCTGAGTTTTGGCCATATACCCCAAAACAGAGAACACGGCGAACCCAGCCATGAAGCTTGTAAAACAGTTCACAGCGCTCGTTATCAAGGCGTCTCTACAAGGAAATACATATGGGATAACTCTATGCAATAACGTTATATGCAATCAAGTCATAATATAACGTTAATTATTTGTTAGAATACATCATTTTCAATAAAAAATACAGCAAAAGGGACACAAATGAAGTATACAATTATATCCTATCCAGTTGTTGATCACATGCTTGATAAAAGTATTAACATCTGTATGGAAACGTTACATTGAAAGAATAAAGTCATTATTTATCAAATTGGTCTCAATTTCTGTCAGCACCTTGTTTATAGTTTTAACCAAATTGGTAAGTAATGTGCCCAAGTTACTGTATTCACGCCTGATAGTTAAATGAGTGAGAAAGTATGGTTTTACGCTGTTTTTAGCAATAATCCAGCAATCTCACAGCCGGGGACACCAGAAATCGGCTTCACACATTGTACCCATGTGGGGAATCGAACCCGGGTCTTCGGCGCGACGAGCGAACGCTTGAACTACTAGGCTATCCCACCGCCCCTGACTGTCATGTCCAAACACGGGTACAAAGCGTGAAACCAATTTCAGATGTAACCCCGCTCGGGCTTTGCTGGAAAGTTGCTATAAATGACGTTAAACGAAAGTCAGATTTATGAAAATTATATATTTACAGCTTTTTCGCACTATAAAGTCTCGATCCTCTTTCACTTGTTTCTTATTCTCAAGTAATGTGCATTTCCACGACAGATATTTCATTCAATTATTCTTTGTATATGGTTATAGACAAGAAACGTAGTCTTTACCTTCTAGTTTGTGATTTAGGAATATATTTAAGTTACGTAGTTAAGAATGCAAATAATGAGAGCTTACTTGTAACAGTTATTATTGAACTTGTTATAGCTAGACAAGGCAAGCAGGACTCCAAACCCTGGTCCTAGAGAAAAGAAAATCTGCGACGCGGCGTCCACCCAAACCTGAAATAGAAACATATGTTGGAACACAGTATAACAGCACTGAGGTATGTTTACACTAAGTCGATAACTCACTCAAGTGAACAAAGCCTTCGCAACAGCACCATATATGCTCTGTGTCATTATTGAAGGGCCATGCAGATGATAAGAGATGAACGTACGAAACAACGCCCTTTTACTACTTCCAAGAGTGCAGTTTGAGTTGCATCTGGGATGAACCATTTCATACCCACATTGACTGTAACTTGTCATGTATTGCCCTTGCATGTGTTTAACCACTGGTTGCTTTGAGGGATGTGATTTAGGTAGCTTTGTCCATCACCATCAATCTTTCATTATTCATTATTTTCAGATGTCATTGTCTGTTCTTTCATTGCATGTCCTAAGATATTTGTTCTACTTTTTTAAAGCTGAGGACTGTCTACAAGTTAAACTATAGCTTACAGCTAGAAACAAAAAAACACCTTCATTTCTCGACAGCGAACCAAATATTCGGTGAAAAATAGAAAACTGATTTGTATTCGACACTATGGCAAAAATTGAAAATTGACTTATATTTGACAATCCAGCAAAGGGATATAAACTTCCGGGCAAAAGCAATTATACATATGCAAATTGACTTTGAGCAAACAATTACAAACGTTATCAAAACGTTACTAGGCTGAAAAACATCGCCGAAACACTGCAAACTTATGGTTCGAAACACAACTATGATACCCGTATCAAACACACCACCATCCAATAACCATTTCCGGTTTGTTTCATCTTTCTATAATCAGCAACCATCAAACATGGGTGTATACGTTCTTTTGCTCGGCAGTATATATGTATAAGTGACATGTGAGCATGTATTATTTTTACGCTTAAGTTTGCAATATTTCACATAAAAGAGAAAACGTATGAGGAATATCCTGGACAGTGAATATTGTCAAAGGCATTCTAGGGGATTTGCGATCTTCGTCCTTTCGAAAGCAGTTGAATATGCAGAAATGTTGTCCTTTTCTAATTCTCGTACTATACAAGCATTGTGGCTGGTATGACTGGTGAATATCTTGAGAACGCGAGTATGTCACTCTCAGTATTCTTTACAGTCGACACACCGTATTACTATTCCGTGATGATGCGTGATGTCTTTGAATGTCTAGAAATGCCTCAGACAATTATCTGCCTTACTATCTTAAGGGCGTAGTCTTCTCTATGGGTATTTACAGTGCGTGCCCACTCCTATTCGTGTTCGACTTGTGTCCATCTCCTTCTATAGGGGGCCTGAACAGTTCACATCACTTGAGTATTGGAACTACTGATTTTCACCTAAGGCTGAATGGTACAGCTTAGAAACATGCAACGCGTCGGGAGTGTCATTATCCACACGAGTAAGTTTTTAAAAGTATTGCACGAAGGGTTCTACAAGGCCGATGGCGATCAACTAGTGACATCGTTGTAATTATTCGTCACTGTAGGCTATTTTATGGTCTCACTTCCATTTCTGTTTGAACTTTCTTCTCACGTGGCAAAGATTAAACTCTGATTGCTCCGATGTCATATACATTGGTGAGAGGCTTGGGTGTTTCAGTCGTTTAGGTCATCGCAATTCGCTGTGCAGAGTTGCGTTCCTTAGAGTGTGTGCTCGAATCCCAAATTTGTCTTGACAATGCTTCTAGGCTAGTCAGCACCATGGTTTTCACCAAAGTAGTAAACGCCTCAGACCTGTATCACTTTGGGCCTGCCTTCTACATTAGGCTGACACGCGGTGATATAACTGAATTACTGTTCAAATCGGCGTTAAACAACATAAACTCTCTCACCCACTCACAATAAATTAGTGAAGCCTCGACCTAAACAACAGGTCAGCAGTGTCAACCACGGTCGACGACAGTGTCACATAATCGGGGGACAGTGTCACATAATCGGGCGACAGTGTCACATAATCAGGGGACAGTGTCACATAATCGGGAGACAGTGTCACATAATCGGGAGACAGTGTCACATAATCAGGGGACAGTGTCACGTAATCGGGCGACAGTGTCACATAATCGGGAGACAGTGTCACATAATCAGGGGACAGTGTCACATAATCGGGCGACAGTGTCACATAATCTGGAGAAAGTGTCACATAATCGGGAGACAGTGTCACATAATCGGGAGACAGTGTCACATAATCGGGAGACAGTGTCACATAATCGGGGGACAGTGTCACATAATCGGGAGACGGTGTCACATAATCGGGAGACAGCGTCACATAATCGGGAGACAGTGTCACATAATCGGGAGACAGTGTCACATAATCGGGAGACAGTGTCACATAATCAGGGGACAGTGTCACATAATCGGAAGACGGTGTCACATAATCGGGAGACAGTGTCACATAATCGGGGGACAGTGTCACATAATCGGGAGACGGTGTCACATAATCGGGAGACAGTTCACATAATCGGGAGACAGTGTCACATAATCGGGGGACAGTGTCACATAATCGGGAGACAGTGTCACATAATCGGGAGAGAGCGTCACATAATCGGGGGACCGTGTCACATAATCGGGAGACAGTGTCACATAATCGGGAGACAGTGTCACATAATCAGGGGACAGTGTCACATAATCGGAAGACGGTGTCACATAATCGGGAGACAGTGTCACATAATCGGGGGACAGTGTAACATAATCGGGAGACAGTGTCACATAATCGGGAGACAGTGTCACATAATCGGAGGACAGTGTCACATAATCAGGGGTCAGTGTCACATAATCGGGAGACAGTGTCACATAATCGGAGAACAGTGTCACATAATCGGGGGACAGTGTCACATAATTGGGAGACAGTGTCACATAATCGGGGGACAGTGTAACATAATCGGGGGACAGTGTCACATAATCGGGGGACAGCGTCACATAATCGGGGGACAGTGTCACATAATCGGGGGACAGAGTCACATAATCGGGGGACAGCGTCACATGATCGGGGGACAGCGTCACATGATCGGGGACAGTGTCAGATAATCGGGGACAGTGTCAGATAATCGGGAGACAGTGTCACATAATCGGGAGACAGTGTCACATAATCGGGGGACAGTGTCGCATAATCGGGGGACAGTGTCACATAATCGGGAGAATGTGTCACATAATCAGGGGACAGTGTCACATAATCGGGGAACAGTGTCACATAATCGGGGAACAGTGTCACATAATCGGGGGACAGTGTCACATAATCAGGGGACAGTGTCACATAATCGGGGAACAGTGTCACATAATCGGGGAACAGTGTCACATAATCGGGGGACAGTGTCACATAGTCGGGGGACAGTGTCACATAATCGGGGAACAGTGTCACATAATCGGGGAACAGTGTCACATAGTCGGGGGACAGTGTCACATAATCGGGGAACAGTGTCACATAGTCGGGGGACAGTGTCACATAATCGGGGAACAGTGTCACATAGTCGGGGGACAGTGTCACATAATCGGGGAACAGTGTCACATAGTCGGGGGACAGTGTCACATAATCGGGGAACAGTATCACATAATCGGGGAACAGTGTCACATAATCGGGGAACAGTGTCACATAATTGGGAGACTGTGTCACATAATCGGGGGACAGTGTCACATAGTCGGGGGACAGTGTCACATAATCGGGGGACAGTGTCACATAGTCGGGGGACAGTGTCACATAATCGGGGAACAGTGTCACATAATCGGGGAACAGTGTCACATAATTGGGAGACTGTGTCACATAATCGGGGAACAGTGTCACATAATCGGGGAACAGTGTCACATAATCGGGGAACAGTGTCACATAATCGGGGAACAGTGTCACATAATCGGGGGACAGTGTCACATAGTCGGGGGACAGTGTCACATAATCGGGGGACAGTGTCACATAGTCGGGGGACAGTGTCACATAATCGGGGAACAGTGTCACATAATCGGGGAACAGTGTCACATAATTGGGAGACTGTGTCACATAATCGGGGAACAGTGTCACATAATCGGGGAACAGTGTCACATAATCGGGGAACAGTGTCACATAATCGGGGAACAGTGTCACATAATCGGGAGACAGTGTCACATAGTCGGGGAACAGTGTCACATAATCGGGGAACAGTGTCACATAATCGGGGAACAGTGTCACATAATCGGGGGACAGTGTCACATAATCGGGGGACAGTGTCACATAATCGGGGGACAGTGTCACATAATCGGGGGACAGTGTCACATAATCAGTCATGTCGAGGCTGAGAGGATTTCCCCCACAGTTTGAATAAAATAAACCCCCTCCAGTCCAGCCATTCTTAATCCGGAAACCCTGATTCCCGGGCCATTACTTTCTAGAACGTCTACGATGTATATTTATGCAAAGGGCATTATCCGAAAAGGCTGAAGTATGAAATGGAGCTGTTTGGCCAAGTGGAAATGTCAACTTATAAAGTAGTGCGATAACTTTGAAATTATCAGTCATGTTCATCTAACTAAAAAAAAAAATAAGTTGAAAAATGTTGCATGTTTTCACATCATGACATGTACATGATCAGTTTAACGAATAGGTGTGAGAAGTGCTGATGAGTTATTTCTATGTGTGCACTGTGCACTGCTTTTACATATATTTCCCAGGACATTCTGTCAAACCTTGCTCATGTGCAAATATTTAAAACACGCATAATGGTTCGATAGATTCTAATGATAGATTCTAATTCGAATGAACATCTCTGCTACCCACGGAAGGGCTGACATTAGCTTGTTCTTGATTAACACAACTTCCGCCAGAGCCGCTGGAGTAACAGGGCCTACCCGCATTTTTTGTAACGGATCTCCCTGTATAACATGTTTTAGCTATCTGATGGTCCTTAAGACGATCCCGGAGTAACGGGGCCTCCCTGTATAACGTGTTTTTGTTACCTGGTAGACGATCCCGGAGTAACGAGGCCTCCCTGCATAACGTGTTCTAGTTACCTGATGGTCTTTCAAACGATCCTGGAGTAACGGGGCCTCCCTGTATAACGTTTTCTAGTTACGTGATGGTCTTTGAAACGATCCTGGAGTAACGGATCCTCCCTGAATAACGTGTTTTAGTTACCTGGTAGACGATCCCGGAGTAACAGGACCTCCCTGTATAACGTGTTTTAGTTCTCTGATGGTCTTTAAACTGATCCCGGAGTAACGGGGCCTCCCTGTATAACGTGTTTTAGTTATCTGATAGTCTTTAAACCGATCCCGGAGTAACGGGGCCTCCCTGTATAACGGTGCTTTAGTTACCTGGTAGACGATCCCGAAGTAACGGGGCCTCCCTGTATAACGGTGCTTTAGTTACCTGGTAGACGATCCCGGAGTAACGGGGCCCCTGTATAACGTGTTTTAGTTATCTGATAGTCTTTAAACCGATCCCGGAGTAACGGGGCCTCCCTGTATAACGGTGCTTTAGTTACCTGGTTGACGATCCCGAAGAAACGGGACCTCCCTGTAAAACGTGTTTTAGTTACCTGATTGTCTTTAAACCGATCCCGGAGTAACGGGGCCTCCCTGTATAACGTGTTTTAGTTACCTGGTAGACGATCCCGGAGTAACGGGGCCTCCCTGTATAACGTGTTTTAGAGACGATCCCGGAGTAACGGGTCCTCCCTGTATAACGTGTTTTAGTTACCTGATGGTCTTTAAACCGATCCCGGAGTAACGAGGCCTCCCTGCATAACGTGTTCTAGTTACGTGATGGTCTTTAAGACGATCCCGGAGTAACGGGGCCTCCCTGTATAACGTGTTTTAGTTACCTGATGGTCTTTAAACCGATCCCGGAGTAACGAGGCCTCCCTGCATAACGTGTTCTAGTTACGTGATGGTCTTTAAGACGATCCCGGAGTAACGGGGCCTCCCTGTATAACGTGTTTTAGTTACCTGATGGTCTTTTAACCGATCCCGGAGTAACGGGACCTCCCTGTATAACGTGTTCTAGTTACGTGATGGTCTTTAAGACGATCCCGGAGTAACGGGGCCTCCCTGTATAACGTGTTTTAGTTACCTGATGGTCTTTTAACCGATCCCGGAGTAACGGGACCTCCCTGTATAACGTGTTCTAGTTACGTGATGGTCTTTAAGACGATCCCGAAATAATGGGGCCTCCCTGCATAACGTGTTTTAGTTATCTGGTAGTCGATCCCGGAGTAACGGGACCTTCCTATATAACGTGTTCTAGTTACGTGATGGTCTTTAAGACGATCCCGAAATAATGGGGCCTCCCTGCATAACGTGTTTTAGTTATCTGGTAGACGATCCGGGAGTAACGGGACCTCCCTGTATAACGTGTTCTAGTTACGTGATGGTCTTTAAGGCGTTTCCGGAGAAACGGGGCCTCCCTGTATAACGTGTTCTAGTTACGTGATGGTCTTTAAGACGATCCTGGAGTAACAGGGCCTCCCTGTAAAACGTGTTCTAGTTACGTGATGGTCTTTAAGGCGATTCCGGAGTAACGGGACCTCCCTGTATAACGTGTTCTAGTTACGTGATGGTCTTTAAGGCGATTCCGGAGTAACGGGACCTCCCTGTAAAACGTGTTCTAGTTACGTGATGGTCTGTAAGGCGATTCCGGAGTAACGGGACCTCCCTGTATAACGTGTTCTAGTTACGTGATGGTCTTTAAGACGATCCTGGAGTAACGGGGCCTCCCTGTAAAGCGTGTTTTTGTTACCTGATGGTCTTTAAGGCGATTCCGGAGTAACGGGGCCTCCCTGTAAAACGTGTTTTAGTTACCTGATGGTCTTTAAGACGATCCTGGAGTAACGGGACCTCCCTATATAACGTGTTCTAGTTACGTGATGGTCTTTAAGACGATCCTGGAGTAACAGGACCTCCCTGTATAACGTGTTTTAGTTACCTGATGGTCTTTAAGACGATCCCGGAGTAACGGGGCCTCCCTGTATAACGTGTTTTAGTTACCTGATGGTCTTTAAGACGATCCCGGAGTAACGGGGCCTCCCTGTATAACGTGTTTTAGTTACCTGATGGTCTTTAAGACGATACCGGAGTAACGGGGCCTCCCTGTAAAACGTGTTCTAGTTACCTGATGGTCTTTAAGACGATCCTGGAGTAACAGGACCTTCCTGTATAACGTTTTCTAGTTACGTGATGGTCTTTAAGACGATCCTGGAGTAACAGGACCTCCCTGTATAACGTGTTTTAGTTACCTGAGGGTCTTTAAGACGATCCCGGAGTAACGGGGCCTCCCTGTATTACGTGTTTTAGTTACGTGATGGTCTTTAAGACGATCCCGGAGTAACGGGACCTCCCTATATAACGTGTTTTAATTACCTGATGGTCTTTAAGACGATCCCGGAGTAACGGGGCCTCCCTGTATAACGTGTTCTAGTTACGTGATGGTCTTTAAGACGATCCCGAAGTAACGGGGCCTCCCTGTATAACGTGTTTTAGTTACCTGATGGTCTTTAAGACGATCCCGGAGTAACGGGGCCTCCCTGTATAACGTGTTTTAGTTACCTGATGGTCTTTAAGACGATCCCGGAGTAACGGGTCCTCCCTGTATTACGTGTTTTAGTTACCTGATGGTCTTTAAGACGATCCCACTGAGGTGTGAGATAGTATCTGATGCCATCCATGGCGCCGGGCAGTGAGCAGCCCCTTATCAGGAGGATGAAGAGTACAATATAGGGCAGGGTAGCGGTGATCCACACAGCCTACAAACAGAGGTGGACGCGACTGGTCACTGAAACCTATCTACAATGTATATCATACACTGTTCAGACAATACAAAAATTTAAAAGCGCAAGTTAGTGCAAACAGAAAACTAATGCGTTACATATGCCAGTTCAATAAATACTACATATAATTATTCGCTGATATGGGCTTTATGCAACAATTTAAATTTATATTATGTTCCGTTGTGTACACACTTAATAACCTTACTTATTTAATGATGGGTGTACTCTGCAATCCTACCCTAAATGAAACCGAAATCCACATATTATTCTACTGGACAAAATATACCTGCTGCACCAAACAAGAATAAATATGTAATACGTTTAATTTAATTTATCAAAATATGATGCAATCCTTAAAAGACTAATTATTTAAAAAAAACTGTTTTTTCGATATTAGTAGACACTTTTATTTGAGTGTAATGTCATTTATTGTACTGTAAATATAATGGAACTCATATACCACGATATTGAATACTGCATGAACGTTTTGACGAATCTTCAATTATCTTACTTTGCCTGAGCTCTTTATGCCTTTCCATAAGGCGAAGTAGACAAGTACAAACACCCCCATCAGGCACAGGGTGATGGTGTACTTCAGTCCCCCAAGGTTCCCGATTCCGTCAGAAAACTGAAGCTCAAGGACCTCTCGCCTGAAAGAGTGAGTGAGTGAGTGAGTGAGTGAGTGAGTGAGTGAGTGGCTGGGCGAGGTTTGAATAAAGAGAACGAAATTGTTCTTTATTCGTTCTTCAAACGTCAATCACAACATACGTACATAACGTACATGTAAAAACTTCTGGTCACCAGTAAACGGTAGATTTTAAAATCAGGTTCAGATCTATGCTACGTCTCAGAATATTGGTGGTCTCTGTGATGAATATATCGTGTATACATGTATGGCAGATTTTACCATGGCATGTTCATGAATGTGAATGTAAGAAACAATGCATAAGTTATGCAGAAATAATTTTTTACCAATCCTAACATAAGAAAATGGCCAAACGGATAGTAAACCGTAGCCAACAGATAACTCGGAAAAGCGAATAAAAAGCGAGCAGCAAAAAGTATATAGAGAGTGACATCACATCAACATGACATAAGAAGTGAAATGACGTCATATGCCAATGTACGTTGTTGCAACATTTCAGACAATCTGCCACAGAATAGCGACCTTCCTGAATCCTACACATGCTGTGTGGTACTTACTGCTCATCATTCCCCAGATGCCCTGGCCATCAACAACCACGCATGAGTGAGATAAGGAGTACTGTTTTATGCCGTTAAAGCACTTTTCGAGCCATATCAGCAGAGGACACGAGCGTGACGACCCAACGCTTTAACCATTATCCCACCTCCCTACCACAACATAAATTTCTAACAGTAGATTTTTTCTGCACTCTAAACGTTCATTTTGCTAAGAACGCAAAGGCCTTGTACTTTGCCGTTCTTGGTATCAATCATTGTTAAACATCTTCTCCCACAATTCCTCAACGCACTGCCGTACGCCCTTGTATCCAGCTGTTTACGGTATCCGCTATAAAGGGCTCTCGCATCCTGTTATTTCCATTAGCATGTGTCTTTGATGTTGGTTACATATAATGCAGAAGTACTGACCGGATTGTCAGGCTGATACAGATGCTAAGGAAGCGGGAATAGCCTACAGGGACAACTCCTCGCTTGAGGAAATATCCCATGGTAACGAAGTAAATAGGAGAAGATGGCCAATACGTGTCGTCAATTATAGAACAACAAACCTTTGTCCTTTTGAAATAAGAAGATATTCCCATCATTCATTATACACTGTGTAAACTACGAACGATTTTATAAAGAATATGATTGCATTCTTTCGTATTTTGCTTGGTGGCACATTGTGATCAATATCTACCTGATTCACTCAGGCATAAAATACCAGAGAGCATGGCTTGTAACATCAAACATGGTTATACTATTAGGTTTAATTGTAAAATGAATGGCTGTGTGCTGCAATCAGATTGGTTTAATAACGTTGTTAACTGGAATTGTATTCTGGAAGTCTTTGGGACTTTTTACTGCCTAGGAATGCTTTTCTTTTTTCCTCTTTCCAAAATGTGAAAAAACGGCTTGGCGGCATGTATAAAATGTCAATTGAGTGTCAAGTGTGATCAATCTTTAAGAGAACAACTTCGATTAAGTTTCGATTTTCCAGACGGGTTAAGTATCACGGAATCATATGACAGCCTCCCTTGCATCATGACGTCAAATCACTCCAGCGTGACATCACATCTACACTCTCCCACCCAGAGTTCCTTGCGGTCAACCAATTTCCTCTGCGACAATTCATTCAACTAATTACATTTTAATTTATTATATACTTCAGGGTTAAAAGACTGAGTTTTCTGAAACTGAGGAAAGTGATATTTTCATTGAAGGGAACATAACACTTGATATTTCATTTTGCAGTGAACATAGTTTGACGAAAGTATTGTCTTAAAAGATTTACCTCCCCGAAAATTGACTCCCTTTATCGTAGGTGTCTGGCCCGTTCACAAACTGTTGGCTCCCTTATTACGTTAGTTCTACATTGACAAAGACAAAATAACGACAGATGGTCATTTTCGGAGTTAATATCGTTCCTTGCCGCATGTTTTTTTTTTCTTGATAATATTTCGTCATAAACTGTAAATTTCGCATTAACTCGTCAATCGAGATTGTACGTTTCGTAAAAGGCCATTGTAGTTACTTGAACAGCGTGTATTCCTTCGCTTCCATCAGCGTTCACGTAGCTTTCAAGAATATTTTTTGTAGAAGTTGATTTTGTATATCATCATGTCCAAATCTATAATAAAGAATTTTAATTTTGTTTATATTTTTAAAGATTTTGCTACTTTTTAAATCGCAATTACAATGGGTGGACAACTACACAAAAAGTATAAAGTAAATAGGATATTCCATGTGTCTAGTGAAATAACATGTCTGACATATATATCTCGCCAAGGAGGAAAGGAGATATTTTCACGATTGCCAGAATTACCTTTGTAAGCTGACGCATATCGTTTCTTAAAACGAAACGCTCAAGACACTTCATTAAACACTTTTAACCATAAAGGAAGCAACAGCATTGATCATGCGACGTTTGCCAAGTGCTGAACGTTTACTTGCCATAGGCATGTTGCAGGTGGACACGCGTCAAAATATTGCTGCTTAAACATTGTGGGCCCGATACCAACATACACATACTGTTGATGGTCGACGCCGCTCAGGACGCCCAAGGACAGCAACTCCAGCCCAGGACAGCTTAGTCAGAACGATAGCATTAAGAAATCCGTTGCAAACTGCCACTCAGATAAGGGACCGGTTTCAAAAGGTGTAAGAATACATGGAGTTCTGTTGTCACGTAAGCCTCAGAGAACCTCAACACCACGGCCGCCAAAGTCATCGCGTAAATCTTGGAGTTCTGTTGTCACGTAAGCCTCAGAGAACCTCAACACCACGGCCGCCAAAGTCATCGCGTAAATCTTGGAGTTCTGTTGTCACGTAAGCCTCAGAGACCCTCAACACCACGGCGGAGAAAGTCATCACGTAAATCTTGGAGTTCAGTTGTCACTTAAACCTCAGAGACCCTCAACACCACGGCGGAGAAAGTCATCACGTAAATCATGGAGTTCAGTTGTCACTTAAACCTCAGAGACGCTCAACACCACGGCGGAGAAAGTCATCACGTAAATCTTGGAGTTCAGTTGTCACTTAAACCTCAGAGACCCTCAACACCACGGCGGAGAAAGTCATCACGTAAATCTTGGAGTTCAGTTGTCACTTAAACCTCAGAGACCCTCAACACCACGGTGGAGAAAGTCATCACGTAAATCATGGAGTTCAGTTGTCACTTAAACCTCAGAGACCCTCAACACCACGGCGGAGAAAGTCATCACGTAAATCTTGGAGTTCAGTTGTCACTTAAACCTCAGAGACCCTCAACACCACGGCGGAGAAAGTCATCACGTAAATCTTGGAGTTCAGTTGTCACTTAAACCTCAGAGACCCTCAACACCACGGCGCAGAAAGTCATCACGTAAATCTTGGAGTTCAGTTGTCACTTAAACCTCAGAGACCCTCAACACCACGGCGGAGAAAGTCATCACGTAAATATTGGAGTTTAGTTGTCACGTAAACCTCAGAGAACGTCAACACCACGGCGGCAAAAAGTGAAGGGTAACTTCAAAACTTATTTTTCGGTTCAAAGCAACCAATGTAAACTGCCAAAACAATCAATAGCTGACTGAACTGAATGTGTATCGGTGATATACAGTTTTGTAGATATCCTGGGGAAATAGCATCATGGTGACGAGTTACGTCTTTGCCGTCCCTCTTCATTGTTTGAAGTTGTGAAATTCTCAAGCATGCATATTGCACAGTGAATTGACATTACTAAAATAAATAGGAACACACCAGGGATAGTGTTAGAGCATATATGGAACACCGATAAGGACCTTTAAAGGAACGGAAATGAACATAAAAGAACAGGAACACAAAACGTACAAACATAGTTCGCATTACATGACAAATTGTTTCCTTTAAATGGCAATGACACTGTGTCCCCTAAACGTGTTTCGTCGTCAACGTATATGTACAATTTAATATCATAGATGGACTGCTGTTGCTATTTGCTAAAGTCCACTGTGTTTGGGTCACTGCTTCTAGATGTTGAACGCCGTCGGGTGACCGTGATACACAATCAGACGAGCCTGACCAATCGAGCATGGCTGCTTTCCATTTGCCCGCCAGGCTCTTACATATATGTTTGTGCTTTCGAATCATCGATCACTCTGCTTATGTTTCTAGGTTTTTCAGCACTATACCCGTGTTCGTGGGTTTCACCAAAGCGGTAAACGTCTAAGGTCTGCATCACCTCGAACGTCCTTTTCACATAAAGCTCACATGCCGTGATATAACTGCGGCGTTAAACCCAACTCACACACTCACTTTTTTCTTGTTACGACATTGATGTTTTCATGGTCTGGAGCAGCGTCTGACGTATGTCTGTTATAATGAGCGTTTCTTGTCTGCAGATGGTGTGGATGTTCGATTTGGGCACATACCCCAACTCAAAAATGAAGGCGAAGAGACAAAAAAAAAAAGTACAGACTGATCATATACGCGGCGAGGAGGCCGTCAAATGAGCCCTTGTTATCAGAGACAACGTGTTGTGATTTGATTCCTGATCGTTTTCCTTGTTCATGGTAAATAAACAATGACTATTATATTTACCACATGTACGTACCATTTAATGTCCTTGACGCGTTTTTATTTGTCAAGTAATAGTGTCTTGTAGCATTTTAGAATAGTTCAGTTTTAACCAAGCACAAACTTCTTTGTGTTTTCTGTTTTATTCTGTTAATGACAGAGCGTTGTTGACTCATTTGAATAGGTTAAATAAGACTCTACCTCACTTCTCTGTTTACCTAATAATTTTAATATCTTGTTCAACACGATTTTGGTTTTTTTCAGAATCATAGGGTCGGATTTTGGTACCAAACTGCACGAAAAGAGGAGGATTTCATTTTCAAGCAGCATACCAGCTCCAGGTTATGCCATATAAATGTCCCATTTGTTTAGGTAGTTTAAATCATGTATATTTTATTCAAATTTCACGGAAGACACATTTTATTTCCAAATAAGATTTTCAATCAATGTTTCACCATAACTAGTCTTGTTAAGTTTTTCACGAAATTTTATAGACATTCAGAAGAATTTACTAAATATGACACGTCGCTTGTAAATATGATGCGCGATGCTATCCCATGCTATGACGTTTACATGAAGCTTGCATAACTACTTAGTCACTGGCACTTACTGTTTTAACGAAAATTGTGTGACTTACTGGTTCTGCCAGGCTATGCTTGCGAACACCTGGTGTCATCACTGATTTACAGTGATCCATGTGTGATCACTTCCGGTATGATCTCGTGTATGGTTCATATATCCAACACAGAGGGAATATGGAGTATAGAATTACCAACGTATTGTATTTGTGTCTTCCGTTTGAATAACGACAAGATGTAAAGAAGCCATCAGTTGTGTACTTTTGGGTCACTTATGTCATGTTGTTCCAAAAATGGTGTAGGTCTGTGTTGGTGATTCATCTTGCGGAAATGATCCATCGGATCCCTCCAATGATTCCCCATTTAATAAAATCCTGAAATATAGTCCAACTAAAATTGGGACTTATTTTTCTCACATTGTATTTTTTATAACGTGAATTGTGTGAGTGGTCGGCGACAATGGCGGATCGGGGCCAGCTTACCATTTTGCGAACACCTGGTGTCATCACTGACGTTCAGGGAATCCTTCATATAATGCCATCACTATTTTGCCTTTTACCCCGTGGACTTTGTTTTTGTAGATATTCAGGAGTGATGTTGACATTTTGAATTGAAATGTAAAATATAGAATTATCTTCAGACAGAATGAATGAGGAAATGTTTGTTACAAAGTTATCACTCCTGAAATATATGTTCATATCATTGAACATTAAAGAAATATAGTTAATAAAGTAAAAATAAAAGCAAATAATTCGTTCGACATTTGTGAAATTTGAAGGTGAGGCATCAGTGGACCAGATAATTAATAAATAGGACAACCTACTCAAAAAATTCTGTTGACGCAGCGCTTGTCCAGTCATCTGACTTGAGGGCACACAAAGAGGCATTGGTGCTGTTGCAAGCGATGATGCGTTCGCTGAATGTGGTACAGTTGGGCGTGTTCCACGTGTTGTTGCAGCTGAGCCACGGAACTTCTGCCCGGAAGGAATAGATGAAGAAGTACACCGCCCACGCTATGATGGTGTTGTAGTACCAGGACACGAAGAGGGCGATGACACAGATTGACAGCCCAATACCTGCAGTCATAAAAGTCATGGAGGTTGAAAATATACTATCTATCCCTCATAGAAATAGTCAGTTTCACTTTTGTACATTCACCAGAACCAGTGCACGAAATATTTCGAATTAAAGTGTAAAATATGAAGCAAAAAACGAACCAGTTGAATTCCCTGTTATGAAACCAGTTACTGTAATTAGATCACGGCAAAACTTACTCTGGTTCGTGTTTTCCGCTTCAAAACTCTTGATTTGAAGGTAAATGGTTTGGGAACAAGGCGGTTGTAAAAACTAAATGATATTGTTTCACGTGCACTCTGATCGGAACTTGAGACAGTCGGTGGGAAATAAGTATGGACTGTGTGAGAATATGGGATGGATTCGTAGATATGTACCAGTGATCAGCAGTTATGTACCAGCGACCAGTAGATATGTCCCAGCTCCCAGAAGATATGTACCAATGACCAGTAGATATGTACCAGTGACCAGTGGATATGTACCATCGACCAGTGCATATGTACCATCGACCAGTGGATAGGTACCATCGACCAGTGGATAGGTACCAGTGACAAGCAGATATGTACCAGTGGCCAATAGATATGTACCAGTGACCAGTGGATATGTACCATCGACCAGTGGATAGGTACCATCGACCAGTTGATAGGTACCAGTGACAAGCAGATATGTACTAGTGACCAGTTGATATGTACCAGTGACAAGCAGATATGTACCATCGACCAGTGCATATGTACCATCGAACAGTGGATAGGTACCATCGACCAGTGAATAGGTACCAGTGACAAGCAGATATGTACCAGTGGCCAATAGATATGTACCCAAGAAGAGTAGATATGTATCCGTGACCAGTAGATATGCTTCAGTGCCCAGTAGATATTACAAGCGGCCACTGGATATGTACCAGTGACAAGCAGATATGTACCAGTGACAAGCAGATATGTACCAATGACCAGTAGATATGTACCAGCGAACAGTAGATATGTACCCGTGACCAGCAGATATGTACCAGTGTCCAGTAGCTATGTACTCGTGACCAGTAGATATGTCCCAGCTCCAAGAAGATATGTACCAATGGCCAATAGATATGTACCAATGAAGAGTAGATATGTACCCGTGATCAGTAGATATGCTTCAGTGCCCAGTAGATATTACCAGTGGATAGGTACCATCGACCAGTTGATAGGTATCAGTGACAAGCAGATATGTACCAGTGACCAGTGGATATGTACCAGTGACAAGCAGATATGTACCATCGACCAGTGCATATGTACCATCGAACAGTGGATAGGTACCATCGACCAGTGAATAGGTACCAGTGACAAGCAGATATGTACCAGTGGCCAATAGAAATGTACCAATGAAAAGTAGATATGTACCCGTGACCAGTAGATATGCTTCAGTGCCCAGTAGATATTACAAGCGACCACTGGATATGTACCAGTGACAAGCAGATATGTACCAATGACAAGCAGATATGTACCAATGACCAGTGGATAGGTACCATCGACCAGTGAATAGGTACCAGTGACAAGCAGATATTTACCAGTGGCCAATAGAAATGTACCAATGAAAAGTAGATATGTACCCGTGACCAGTAGATATGTACCAGAGACAAGCAGATATGTACCAATGACCAGTAGATATTTACCAGCGACCAGTATATATGTACCCATGATCAGTAGATATGTACCAGTGTCCAGTAGCTATGTACCCGTGACCAGTAGATATGTCCCAGCTCCCAGAAGATATGTACCAGCGATCAGTAGATATGTCCCAGCGACCAGTAGCTATGTACCAGCGACTAGTGGATATGTACCAGTGACAAGCAGATATGTACCAATGACCAGTAGATTTGTACCAGCGACCAGTAGATATCCACTGGTCACTGGAACATATGCACTGGTCACTGGAACATATCTACTGTTCATTGGTAGATATCTACTGGTCACTGGTACATAACTGCTTGTCACTGGTACATATCCACTGGTCGGTGGTACATATCCACTGGTCACTGGTACAAATCCACTGGTCACTGGTACATATATACTGGTCACTTGTGCAGTGGCCAGTAGATATGTACCAGTAATCAGTGCATATGTTCCAGTGACAAATAGATATGTACCAGAGACCAGTTGATATGTATCATTGACCAGTAGATGTTTACCCGTGACCAGTAGATATGTACCAAAGAACTGTAGATATGTATCCGTGACCAGTAGATATGTACCAGTGACCAGTAGATATGACAAGCGACTAGTGGATATGTACCAGCGACCAGTAGATATGTACCAGCGATCAGTAGATATGTACCAGCGACCAGTAGATATGTACCAGTGACCAGTTTATATGTACCAGCGACAAGTAGATATGTACCCCTGATCAGTAGTTATGTATCAGTTACCAGAAGATATGTACCCGTGACCAGTAGATATGTACCAGTGTCCAGTAGCTATGTACCCGTGACCAGTGCTTATGTCCCAGCTCCCAGAAGATATGTACCAGCGACCAGTAGCTATGTACCAGAGTCTAGTGGATATGTACCAGTGACAAGCAGATATGTACCAATGACCAGTAGATATGTCCCAGCTCCCAGAAGATATGTACCAATGAACTGTAGATATGTACCAGTGACCAGTAGATATGACAAGCGACTAGTGGATATGTGCCAGCGACCAGTAGCTATGTACCAGCGACTAGTGCATATGTTCCAGTGACAAGCAGATATGTACCAGAGACCAGTAGATATGTATCAGTGACCAGTAGATATGTACCAATGAACTGTAGATATGTACCAGTGACCAGTAGATATGACAAGCGACTAGTGGATATGTACCAGCGACCAGTAGATATGTACCAGCGATCAGTAGATATGTACCAGCGACCAGTAGATATGTACCAGTGATCAGTTTATTTGTTCCAGCGACCAGTAGATATGTACCAGCGATCAGTAGTTATGTATCAGTGACCAGTAGATATGTACCTGCGACCAGTGAATTGTACCAGTGACGAGCAGATTTGTACCAGTGACCAGTGCATATGTACCGGCGATCATTAGATATGCACTAGCGACCAGTAGATATGTACCAGCGACCAGTAGATAGGTACTAGCGACCAGTAGATATGTACCAGCGAACAGTAGATATGACCCAGCTCCCAGTTGATATGTACCAGCGACCAGTAGGTGTATGTACCAGTGATCTGTAGATATGTACCAGCCATCAGTAAATATGTACCAGCGACCAGTAGATATGTACCAGCTCCCAGTAGATATGTACAAGCGACCAGTAGTGATTGAGTTATGATCAACTTATAAAGCGACGTGTGCGTGTGGTTGTTTGTACTAGTCCGGACTTATGCCGTTTTTATAGTGCTGGCCTACTGAGATACCATGCGGCAATTTTAACATTGATACCCCACTCAGAGGCAGTATACTGACTCCGAGCCGACCAGTCCTTTTTTCATCCCTTTAATGTCGAACGATTGGAAGGGTAACAGCTACCATCTTTTAACTTATTTTGGTATGATCCGGTAGAGACTCGAACCATCGACCTTCCACTCACCCGGGCGACGCTCTACCCATTTAACCACGGAGGCGATTCGACGTGAAACCGACAATGACGAGAATCGTGTTTGACACACCTAGAATGATAATCTGATTGAATCTAGGATTCGGACCCACGACAAGTGGATAAAAAAAACAAGTAAACTAAGTAATAGGATATGTGTTATTTACTTGCCTTTGTGTGTGTTTGTGATGAATGCCACCGGTAGGGCAGGATGCGCTCATCTTTTTGTGAAAACCTGGTATCATCACTATTTGGTAGTGATTCATAAACACATATTGATGATATAGTTGGAAATGTACAGTTGACTTTGCTTTCAGTGGAGATTTATTATAAGCATGGACATTATTTTTGTCGCTTTGATTAGAAAGTGTACCCACTTGCTGTGTGTTTGAAATCTAAATAATGAAAGATTCAGTAATGCATTGATTTCTCATTGTACCTTGTGACAAACGATTATGCTTGAAATTAGTCTCACAACAAAAGAGGATATCATCTATGAATTATTATCTCTTGCAATTTGTTCATGTAAATATATTCATTATATTATTCAATTAGTCAATATTTCATTCAGTTGTATTTCATCAGCTTGAACAGTCCTGGTAAAGGTTGTCACGTCATTCCAGAATGCACCACTAGGCTAATAGCAAAGAGGCCGGTGAAGAACAATAAATCTCCAAGAACACGTACTCTAAAACTATGCCACACGTTGTACTCAACGCGCTTCCATTACGTTCACAATATCCGATGTAAATGAAGTAATCAGTCGCCGATTCATGCATGAAGCAATTGTTCTGTTGAGACGAGGAAACACCGTGTATAATACAAAGCAATGTAACAGAATATCTGTTATATCAACCCAAAATATAACCATTAACGTTTCAAATTAAGCAAAGTTAAGTATGTGTGATCCTCCTAGGTCAGCTACCTCGTTACGTTGTCGGCCATCTTGTTTACGGCGGCGCCGAAGTTGATGCGCATTTACAGCCGAAGTTGCGTAACAGATTTGCGCCGCTCATACATATTCATTGATCTTTAATTAGAATGGCGATTTAACGACGACAACAACGCCGTCCTTATCATCAAGCCTCGCCTGGCATTGAGTGCTTGATATTTTGACACAACTGATTCGTCTATTACTCACGGAGGCTTTGAGCACAGCTACACTGCCCGTTCCCTATATGTGTCCGTCTGGTATATAGCTCGCTCTTACTGACTTTCACCGGACCGGGAACGGGTTGAGCACTCTTATCCATTACAGCAGGACAATGGGGTCAGCCACTTGGGGAAATAACACCTTAACTTATTATCAGATCCTTAGTTTAGGTGTTCTTGTTAAAAAACGTTACCTATCTGTTAAAGCCATAGTTCGGTATCATATAAGATTAGGGTAGCAATACACAGGTGCACTTTACACAATGTTTAGGGTAGGGAAGAAA